GAGAGAGAGAGAGAGAGAGAGAGAGAGAGAGAGAGAGAAGGAGAGGGGTGCTTGTATGTGCGTGCGAGCAATGAATGTTTGCTGCAAAATGTGACGGTTGTGTAACGGCTGTGTGGGTGGTGGGCACGTTCGTGCGAGCCTGTAATATGTACGTGAGCTATCGAACAGTGTCAGTTTGGGTGTGTGAGTGTGGGAGTACATATGGGTAATAAAATAATATATTATGTTTATACGTACACATACATAATAGGTATGTACGATACAATAATATTATGCATGTTGAATATATTATGTTTATGTATTAAACAATGTAAATATACGACGACAGCAACAACAACAACATAATAATAATAATTACTACTATTACTACTACTACTACTACTACTACTACTACTACTACTACTACTACTACTACTACTACTACTACTACTACTACTACTACTACTACTACTACTACTACTACTCTTATTATTATTACTATTATTATTATTATTATTATTATTATTATTATTATTATTATTATTATTATTATTATAACATAAATAATATTATCAACACAAACAGAAAGAGAGAGAGAGAGAGAGAGAGAGAGAGAGAGAGAGAGAGAGAGAGAGAGCGTTATAGAGAGAAAGATATACACAGAGAAGGATAGATGGATAGGTAGATAAAAAGACAGACAGGTAGATAGAGAAGATAGATAAATAGATAGATAGAACAAATATCAACGACACACAGAGTCTCTGGTAAACAAGGCGTTAACAAAGGATTTGAAGAAATAAAAAGGAAAAGCAACACCCCTAAAGCTCGTTAAACAAGGAAGTTTTCGAGACAGATGATATCCGAGAACCGCCCTTAAATATTGTAAAAACGGGTTTTATCCCAGAACTTGGTAACGTTCGGAGTTATAAAGGATCGATTGTCGGACCATCACTTTTTTGGTGTGTCATTAATACATTTTGGTATCTCTTGCTATGGTAACAATTTGGGAAGAGAGCACTTGATAAAAATAAACAAGTTGATCAGAAAAGTATCAAGAACAATGGTAGAGACCTAAGTAACTTTGAATATCTGCACAAAACAAACGTTCTAAAAAAGGTGGAAATAATGCTAAGTGACCATAGCAACCCACTGACATCAGAATTTCAATTATCGACCCGCAGTAAACGAAACATTATCAAAAAAGCAAGAACAGACAATATATAAAAATGCATTCGTACCAACTGCAGAGAGGTTACTGAACACAAAGTGCTGCAAATGAAACTGAGAGAGAGAAAGAGAGAGAGAGAGAGAGAGAGAGAGAGAGAGAGAGAGAGAGAGAGAGAGAATGTTTTACGGAGCGGGTCGTCCCAGCACGTGAGACATGTATTTACAAATATCCTGTCTTGTTTTGCGTATGCGTGAGTGCACCTAACCTTTGTAACGTCTGCTGCCTTTGTTAACGACCAAGACAAATTTCTCCCTGCGAGATGAATAAAGATTGTCATTGTCATTGTAGTTATTGGTTCTCAAAATGATTCAACTAATTCGAATATTCATAATAATATAAATAGTGGAAGTACAAATTTGAGTTATGGTGCGCTAGTACCTATTAGACAAGGAGAGGGACATTTTACACAGTTGAACACAGTTTGTGTACTGCGAGGTGAACTTTAGGAGCAGTGGATGTCTCCTCCCCCACCA